TAACATTTTACTCTCAAGCTTTTTTCTCTCTTTAAATTTTTTTTTTTTTTAAATTATGGCAAAATACAACAAAAATTACCATTTTGACAATATTTAAATGTACTAATCCCTTGATGTGTACCTGGCTTGGTTCTATCTTTTGGCTATTATGAATAAGGCTGCTATGAAAATGGGTACATAAATATTTCTATAAGATCTTGTTTTCATTTTTGGATATATGTCCGAAAGTGGAATTGCTGGTTCATATTTCTTTTTAAAAATTTTGGGCTTTTTTTAAAGTATATTCTTATTGTTGTGCAACCTCCACACTTATATACCTTTAGAACTTTTTTCATCTTCCAAAATGGAACTATGTTTCTATTAAACAATAACTTCTCACTACTCCCTTCCTCTAGACTCTGGCAACCACCATTCTACCTTTTGTGTCTATAAAAATGATTTTTTTTTTCCTTGTACTGGTGATTGAACCTAGGATGCTCTACCATTGAGCCATATTTCCAGTTCTTTTTATCTTTTATTTTGAGACAGGGCTTCGCTAAGTTGCTGAGGCTGGCCTTGAATTTGGGGTCCTTCTGTCTCATCCTCCAAGTTTCTGGGATGACAGGCATGTACTACCAGCCTGGGCTGGTCTTTATGAATTTGATTTACTCAGTTCAAATAAATAGACATGCAGTTATCTTTCCTCTGACAGGCTTTTTTTCACTTACTTAGCATGATCTCAGGTTGTCCATGTTACAGCATGTGTTAGAATTTCCTTCCTTTTTAAGACTGAATTGTTTGTTCACATTTGTTTATCTATGCCTCCCTTGATGTGCACCTGGCTTGTTTCTATCTTTTGGCTATTATGAATAAGGCTGCTATGAAAATGGGCACATAAATATTTCTATAAGATCTTGTTTTCTTTTTTGGATATATGTCTGAAAGTGGAATTGCTGGTTCATATTTCTTTTTAAAAAATTTGGGCTTGGGCTGGGGATGTGGCTCGAGCGGTAGCACGCTCGCCTGGCATGCGTGTGGCCCGGGTTTGATCCTCAGCACCACATGCAAACAGGGATGTTGTGTCCGCTGAAAACTAAAAAAATAAATATTAAAAAATTCTCTCTCTCTCTCAAAAAAAAAAAAAAAAATTTGGGCTTTTTTTCCCTGCCCTTGGTACCAGGGATTGAACTCAAGGTTACTTAACCGCTGAACAACATCCCTAGCCCTTTTTATTTTTTATTTGGAGATAGGGTCTCACCAAGTTGCTTTGGACCTTGCTAAGTTCCTGAGGCTGGCTTTGAACTTTCTATCCTCCTGCCTCAGCCTCCTGAATTGCTGGGATTATAGGAATGCATCATTGCACCCTGCATGAGCTTTCTATATTTTAAAGTCTATTTAAATTCTTTGTTCTCTGAAATATTTTCTAAATAGAAATATGGGAAGATTACTTAAAAGGGATGGAAGGACTGGGGTTGTAGCTCAGTGGTAGTGTATTTACCTAGCACGTGTGAGGCACTGGGTTCAATTCTCAGCAGCACGTAAAAATAAATAAATAAAATAAAGGTATTGTGTCCATCTACATCTTAAAAAGAAAAAAAGGGGGGAGATGGAAAATTTAAAAAAAATTTTTTGAAACTAGGTGTGACTGTGTTTATAGTCCCAGTTCAGGAAGCTGAAGCAAGAGGCTTGCTTTAGCCCAAGTGTTGTAGGCCAGCAATACCCCTCAACAACAACAAAAATAAAAACTTTGAAAAGCAGTTGATTGCATGTAAATGTTTAACAATTAACTTCAGGGAAGGTAGAATGCAGTCTCTTAGGCTTGGGCTAGGAATGAGAGACCAAGCTGTAGGAAATTACATTTTGCCTTCTGTAAGTTCTAAGGACTGTGGGTTTTATCCCTGACAAATTCAAGCCAACACATTTAAGATCCTTTAAAAATATGCAGAATTTCAAAAACTTAATTTATCAATTATACTATATTTAAAAATAAATTACTGGGCTGGGGATGTGGCTCAAGCTGTAGTGCGCTTGCCTGGCATGCTTGCGGCCCGGGTTCGATCCTCAACACCACATACAAACAAAGATGTTGTGTCTGCCAAAAACTAAAAAAAATAAATATAAAAAAAAAAAAAATAAAAATAAAAAAAAAAATAAAAATAAATTACTTTTCGTTTGGCACGGTGGCACACACTTGTAATCCCTGCGGCTGGGGAGGCTGAGACAGGAGGATCATGAGTTCAAAACCTGCCTCAGCAATTTATCGAGGTACTTAGCAACTCAGGGAGACCCTTCCTCTAAATGAAATATAAAAAGGGCTGGGGATGTGGCTCAGTGGTTAAGCACCCCTGGGTTCAATCCTCAGTACCAAAAAAAAAAAAAAAAGGAAAAACAAAACAAAACAAACAAAAAAAACAAACTACTTTTAATACTCTGATATATATCCTTCCCAACTTTTCTATTTATACACATATACATAGTTTACAAAAAGAGGTTATACCATTTTCATAGCTATTAAAAATTTTTTTTTTTAGTTGTAAATGGACACAATACCTGTATTTATTTTTATGTGGTGCTGAGGATTGAACCCAGTGCCTCACACGTGTGAGGCAAGCACTCTATCACTGATTTATAGCCCCAGCCCTCTCATAGCTATTTTTGCATTTAACAATTCATAAATATAGTACTGTGTCAAATCATTCTGTTATCATTTAAGAAATTAATGTTTTTTTTAAGATTATAAAAGTAATAACTTTATTGCAAATACTATGAAATATATAAAGTAAAAAGTGGCCATATCCAATAGTTGTTGTTTGTATACCATCATTTTCAGTAACTACTTGGTATTCTGAATATTGACTTCTTTTGTTGGGGGTGTTGGGAATTGAATCTAGGGCCTCAGGCATGTTAAGCACACACTGTGCAACTGAGCCATATGTATTGGAACTTTTAAATGTAAATTTTCATCCAAATTCAGTCCTTGTATACTAATGATGGTCTGTGGCAGTAGTCTCCATTTTTCTCCCTTAGAGGTTTACTACAGAGCATATGCTAATACCCAAGTTAAGTAAATTGGGGTTGTCTAGATTGCTACTATAGTATTGCTACTATTGTATATAGTATGTTATCTTTTCTTGAATACTTTGTGACTCTTCAAGGTCTCTAATTTTGGTGGTACACATCTGTATCTCTTTTGTTAATGGGTTATTTGTAATAAAGGTAACTGTGACTACACCTGATATAAATTTGTTCTGTGTTTTACCTTAACCATAGTTCCTGCCAGAGGTACAAAAATACTCAATAACTGATGAGAATGTCAGTGACTCTAGGCAGTACTGGATCATTGTTAGTGTTTGATTAATATATGACAATAGCTATTAGTATCTTAATTTAAATCTAAGAAAGATTTATGGAGTAGTGACTTCAAAGTGTTAAGTATTAGCCGGACTTGGTGGCACATGCCTGTAATCCCAGTACTTGGGAGGCTGAGTCCAGGGATTGCAAGTTTGTTGCCAGCCTCAGCAGTTTAGGGAGAGCCTGTCCTTAAAAAAAAAAAAAAAAAAAGGGCTCTCTGAAGTTCAGTTCCCAGCAGGGATAGAGGGAATTAAGCAGTTCTTATCAAGGTATAGGGGTAAACACCTGTAATCTGACCTGCTAAGGAGGGTTAGGATCCCAATTTGAGGCCAGGCCAGGTAAATTTAGTGAGACCCTGTCTCATAATAAAATTTTATTTCATTTTACTTTGTTTTTGTACCAGAGATTGAACCCAGGGGTACTTAACCACTAGCCACATCCCCAGTCTCCTTATGTTTTATGCTAAGTTGTTTAGGGCCTTACTAAAGTGCTGAGGCTGGCTTTGAACTTCCTATCCTCATGTTTCAGCCTCCTTAGTTGCAGGAATTACAGGTGTGCACCACCATGGCTGGCAAACATAATAAAATTTTAAAACAAAGGGCTGTGAATATAGGTCAATGGCAGAGCTCTTGCCTAGCATTTGTGAGGCCATGGGTTTAATCCCCAGTAATGGAAAAACTAAAATAAATTTCTAGAAGGGCTGTAGGTATAGCTCAGTAGTTTATCTCTTGCCTAGCATGTGTGAAGGCCTGTGTTTGATCCTCAATAACACACACACATAGTCCAAGATAGTAAAAAAAAAAAAAATTTTTTTTTTTTTTTTTTTTTTTTTTTGGTACTGGGGATTGAATCCAGGGGAGCTTAACAACTGAGCCAAATCCCCAGCACTTTTATATTTTATTTTGAAACAGGCTCTCACTAAGTTGCTTAGGGTCATTTAAAATTGTTCAAGCTGATTTTAGAATTTCAATTCTTCTGCCTCAGCCTCCCAAGCCACTTTTTAAAAAATCTTTAATAGAGAACAGGTTATTATGAATAAAGGGTTTGGGGAAGGAATACTGGGGATTAAACCCAGGGGCACTTTACCACTGAGCTACATCTCCAACCCTTTTTTACTTTTTACGACAAGACCTTGCCAGGTGCGATGGCACATGCCTGTAATTCTAGGATCTCAAGTTTAAGGCCATCCTCAGCAACTTTGCAAGACCCTAAGCAATTTAGTGAGACCCTGTCTCAAAGTAAAAAATAAAATAGGGCTCTGCAGATGTGGCTCAGTAGGTAAGTGCTCCCTGGATTCAATCTGTTGTACAAAAAAACCAAATCAAAACAACAACAAAAAAAAGGCAGGGGTATCACTAAGCTGAGTTTGGCCTTGAACTTGTGATTCTCCTGACTTAACCTCTGGAGTTGCTGGGATTATAGGTCTGCCACTGCAGCTGGCTATACTTTTTATTTCCATACTTTGTTCCTTTTTTTTTTTTTTGGATAGTGCTGGGTGATGATCAAACCTAGGGCCTGGAGCATGATGGGCAAAAACTTAACCATTGAAAATGAATGTTTATTACATATTATTAAAATATTTAAAAATGTGATGAGAAAAGAGAAAAGAAGTATCATATTTACTAACATGTCTTTTGGCTTACAAAATAATGATCTGTGCTAATTTCTAGTTCCAGAAAGCTGACTCTGATCTGGATTACATTCAGTATAGGCTGGAATATGAAATCAAGAGAAATCATCTTGATTCAGCAGGCCAGGTAATCTATGAAAGAACTAAACCTTTTTTAACTGAATATTTTGTAAAAAGATTTTCTGATAATATTTCTCAAAGTAACATATTATAATTATTATATTACTGAGCTTATAGTCTTAAAGTCTTGTGATAGAAGCTTGGTCACATCATAATAGAGAGATTATACCAGTAATTAGTGAAATTTGTAGCTACTTTTCTTATTTTTTTCTAACTTTTACAAAAGAATGATTGAATTCAGAGACACTAATGAGCCAGTTATGGAAGCCTCAAAAATTTCAAGAGACAATATAGCTACCACTAGGACAGTGGGTCTTCAATAATTTTAAGGATAGAAATCCTGGAAGTCTTGATAGTCTCTGAGGATGATGATGATATACTATTAAGTTTGCTATTAAATATTGAAATATGAGCAGTGATTTTTGGGTACAATTATATATTTATCTTTTCTAAGGTTCAGATGATCAGAGATATTAGCTGTTTACTTATTATTTATTTTTTAAATTTATTTTTGAGATGAGAGTCTAATTATGTTGCCCAGGCTGGTCTTGAACTCCTGGGCTTAAATGTTCCTGCTGCCTTAGCCTCCTGAGTGTTTGGGACTATAGGCACATACTTAAACATCTGACTATAAAGTTTTTTTTTTGTTTTTTTGGCACCAGTGATTGAACTCTGAGGCACTCAACCACTGAGCCATATCCCTAGCCCTTGTATTTTATTTAGAGAGAGGCTGTCACTGAGTTGCTTAGTGCCTCACTGTTGCTAAGGCTGGCTTTGAACTTGCGATCCACCTGTTTCAGCCTTCCTAGCCCCTGGGATTACAGTGTGCACTACCATACCCTGCTCCTGACTATTTTTATACTCTAAAATCTTAGCTATAAGTGTACATGTTCATGGGATAAAAGCAAGTAATCTTCAAGCATTGTTTGTTAACATTAATATTTTCAGTACTTCTTGGATCTGAAGTACTTGGTACTGAAGATAGCATATTTTGAAATAGCATATTTTGCAGGTTTTTAAAAGAATTCTGTACATTTAAAAAAAAAAAAAACAACTTCTTTAAAAAAATTTTTTTTGGTACCAGGGATTGAACTCAGGGGCACTCGACCACTGGGCCACATCCCCAGCCCTTTTTTGTATTTTATTTAGACACAGGGTCTCACTGAGTTGCTTAGTGCCTTGGCATTGCTGAGGTTGGCTTTGAACTCGCAATCCTCCTGCCTCAGCTTCCCCAATTGCTGGGATTACAAGCATGCACCACTGCGCCCAGCTGAAAAAAAAAAAACAAACTTTTTTTGACTGGGTAGAAGTATGAACTAAAGTGAGTTTTTATACAAAATTGGGAGAATTTCATGCATGTTCACTTTTTACTCTTCATGGAATTTCAGAATTCTATGGGAGTCTATTTTTGAATTTTTTAACTCTGAAAGTAGCTTTTTTTCTTTGACCTTTTTTTTTTTTTTTTCTCACTGAAGAACAACCAACCATTGTGGTCCAATGGTACTATCTGACTGACTAAAGGACTCTTCCAAATCAGTATTTTTCCAGTACTATTTTTAGTACTATTGTGGTAGACATTTTCTCTGCTTTCCATCTCTCATCTTTGTTTCATCTCTAGTTATTTTTCTCTTTTACAACTTGTCTGTGATGAGATTTCTGAGTTACATGTTCAGGTTTCTGGGCATATTACTTAGGAGTTGGTTTCTTACCTAATGGTCATTAATACTTACATAATTCACTGTTGCCTCATAGTTGATTCTTCTTCACTTATACCTGATTTCTTCCCAACTCTGAACCTTTATTTCTATCAAATTAAATGTGTATAATTTGAAGAGTCACACAAGTATAAAACTTATAATTTCCAATAGTAATTAATTGCTTCACACTCTCCCACCCTCAAGAAGGCCACTAGTTTATTTCAGTGTCTTCTATCTTTTTTTCATTTTTTTGGGTGCTGGGACTTGAACTCAGGGCCTCACATATGCTCAACACATACTGTACCACTGAGCTATACCCCAGCCCTAGTATTTCTTTTGTATTTCTAAATAGTATGCTTATACTACATTCCCCTGGCATCTGAAATATCTACTGATTTCCTAGATATAAATGATTCTAAGTCAAATTCCAACTCTGCTTCTTATTAGTTTCATGATTTTAGGCAAGCCAGTTAACTTCCCTGTATTATAAAATGGGGCTATTCTCATAGTCCATAGGTTGAAAGAGAATAAAATTAATTAACATATGCAATGTGTTTAGAATTGTTTGATCCATAGGAAGTGCTCTTCATGAGCTGTTTATTAACAGTAATTCTTGGTATAGATGATGAAGATGAAATACTACCCATATTTATTTTAATCTTCATATTTGTGGATAAATCAATATTCAGAATTTATGTTATGATTCTAAATATTGCTTCTGTCTAAACCCTGTTGAATACATTCCTGCTTTTCCTTTTGTTTTATTTATTTATTCATTTGTGATACTAGGGCTTAAACACAGAGCTACAAATATCTTCAGCTCTTTTTATTTTTTACTTTGAGATAGGGTCTCACTAAATTGCCCAGGCTGGCCTCCCACTTCAGCCTCCCAAGTAGCTGAGATTATAGGTGTGGACCACTATGCTTGGCTGCTTATTCTTTTTTCATAACTTGCTTCATTTTTCCTATGAGCACATGACTAATTCAGCCTCCATTCCTGATGAGTGGTTTGGTAGATTGGAGATTTTTTTTTTTTTTTTTTAATTGAAGTAGTGGGAATTGAACCCAGATGAGGTGCTCACTCATTCAGTTACTTTATATTTTTTATTTAATATTGAGACAGGGTCTAGCTACATTGTCCAGGCTGTACTTGAACTTGCAATCCTCCTGCCTCAGCTTCTCAGGGAGCTGGGATTACATGCATATGTAACTTCACCCAGCAAGATTATTTTCTCTTAATTTTAATATCATTGTTTTGTTGTTTCCTAGCTTGTAGGGTTGCTGTTGAGAAATAAATGTCATTCTAATTCCAGAAATTTTGTGTGTGCTCTTCTTCATGCATCTGTTTCTCTTGTACCCTCCCCCATCTCTTAGAACTTTGGGAATATTTTATTTATGCTGGAATTTTTTATTTTATTGTTTAGATTTCTTCATTAATTATTCTGTCACTTGATGGGATCCTTTCTTTCTTTTTTTTTTTTTTGGTACTGGAGATTGAACCCAAGGTTGCTTAACCACTGAGCCATATCCCCAGCCCTTTTTTGTATTTTATTTAGAGATAGGATCTTGCTGAGTTGCTAAGGTCCTTGCTAAGTTGCTGGGGCTGGCCTCAGCCTCCCTAGCCACTCGGATTACAGATACATGCCACACAACCAGCAAGAATTTTTTTTTTTTTTAATATTTTTTTGGGTACTAGCGATTGAACCCAGGGGTGTTCTAGAACTGGAGATAGGTGTGTGCCATCACACTGGGCCCCAAGAGTTCATTTTAAGAATATAGGCCAGAAATGAATTTAAGGAAAGCGAATAGGACTGAAAAATTATATACTGTATACTAAACTCAACTATTTTTTGGTACTGGAGATTGAACCTGTGGTCTGGGGCATGCTAAGCATATGGTCTATAACTGAGTTATGTGCTCTGCTATAAGCTTGACCTTTTGACCACTGGACAACATCCCCAGTCCTTTTTATTTTTTTATTTTGAGACAGGGTCTCACTAAGTTACCAAGGCTGGCCTTGAACTTGAAATCCCTCTGCCTCAGCCTCCTGAGTTACTGGGATTATAGACATGTACCACTGCACCCAGCTGATATTTTTTTTAATTAATTTTTTAATTTATATGTGACAGCAGAATGCATTACAATTTTTTTTTAATATTTAGCGTTTAGTTGTAGTTGGATTCAATACCTTTATTTTATTTATCTATTTTCATGTGGTGCTGAGGATCAAACCCAGGGCCTCGCATGCGCTAGGCAAGTGCTCTACTGCTCAGCCACAACCCCAGCCCTAAAATTCTTATTACACATATAGAGCACAATTTTTCATATCTCTGGCTATATACAAAGTATATTCATACCAATTAGTGTCTTCATACATGTACTTTGGATAATAATGACCATCACATTTCACCATCATTTCTGACTCCATGCCTCCTCCCTTTCCCCTCCAACCCCTCTGCCCTATCTAGAGTTCGTCTATTCCTCCCATGCTCCCTCTCCCTCCTTCACTATGAATCAGCTTCCTTATAGCAGAGAAAACATTCGGCATTTGGGTTTTTGGGATTAGCTAACTTCAGTTAGCATTATCTTCTATAACTCCATCCATTTACCTGTAAATGCCATGATTTTATTCTCTTTTATTGCTGAGTAATATTCTATTGTGTATATATGCCACATTTTTAATCCATTCATCTATTTTTTAAAAAAATATATTTTTAGTTGTATTTGGACACAATATCTTTATTTTTATGTGGTATTGAGGATTGAACCCAGTGCCTCACACGTGCAAGGCAGGTGCTCTATCACTGAGCTTCAGCCCCAGCACCTATCCATTCATCTATTGAAGGGCATCTAGGTTGGTTACACATTTTAGCTATTGTGAATTATGCTGCTATAAACATTGATTTGGTTGTGTTCCTGTAGTATGCTGTTTTTAAGTCCTGTTAGTATAGACCAAGGAGAGGGATAGCTGGGTCAAATGGTGGTTCCATTCCCAATTTTCCAAGAAATCTCCATACTGCTTTCCACATTGGCTGCACCAATTTGCAGTCCCACCAGCAGTGTAAGAGTGTACCTTTTCCCCCACATCCTCACCAACACTTATTGTTGTTTGTATTCATAATAGCTGCCATTCTGATTGAAGTAAGATGAAATCTTAGAGTGGTTTTTGTGGGAAGCCATTCTCGCATGTGATTGGGCACCTCCCTGATTGGGTGTGAGGCATTCTTGCTAAACTGTATCAGAACTAATCCCCACCCTTTCTAGGTGCGAGAGCCCGTCCATGTGGGGGTGTGACTGATCATTGACCTTG